ATCTGTCTATAATCCAGATGAAGCTAACCCATTACCAGAGGTGGAAAGTAACGAAATACATTTACTCAAGTTACTGTATTGAGTAGGTTTTTTGTGTATTTTGTATTTTTCAAGCACAGTAGTTTTTAAAATCGGTAATTGAAATTTTACTTGATTACTTTTTGTATTTCATTACATTACAAATCCGTTACTGAGTAAAAAAAAACGTTGGAAAACCGAAAGGAAGACAAAAAATGGGGCCCGGAAGCGCTACAGCGAGTGACGTGATCAGCATGTAGATCGAGGCTACCAGGAGTCTTTCTGTAGGAGATTGGGAACGAGATGGAGGTGGATCAGGAGAGCGACGACGGTTCAGAGAACGTTTCACTAGAGATGCTAGCTGAAACATCGAATTCTGCTGCGTAAAAACGTCGAAAATCCTCGGCCACATTTGAAAGACTGCTTTTCATTTAAATTCAAGAGGGCCGACAGCATCATCAGGCAATGCCAGATGTGTCGGCCAAAGGTGACTGAACTGGCAGCATTCATTTAATCTGCGGAAGCATGTTTGGTACTTCAAACAAAGTTTTCATGACTAATAGCCAATTAGCAAAACAACCTGTTTCGTGGCATTGCTGATTTTGTCTAGCACAGGGGTCGGCAACCCGCTTGGGAAAATAAATTGCTAAAAATAAACTAAGTATTTCATTTAAGTCAGTGTTTCCTGCAGCTCTATCTTGGCGAGGTTGGCAACATTTTTTTTTTTTTTATGTAACTAAGTAACTTTTACCTAAAATACATTTTAAATTAGCTACTTATTACTTTTACTTGAGTAATTTTTCTGATGTGTAATTTTACTTGTACTTGAGTAATATTTCATCCAAGTATTGGTACTTTTACTTNTTTTTTTGCAGTGTATACCTTTAAGGGCGTCGTGGTTAGGGCATTGCACTCGGAATCCAGAGGTTCTGAGTTCGAGCCCCACTCCCACAGACTGCCACTCTGGGTCCCTGAGTAAGACCCTTAACCCCACACTGCTCCCTGTCCGTCGCACTATGGCAGCCCTCTGCTCCACAAGGGGAGGGGTTAAATGCAGAGAGGGGATTTTATTGCTCTGTTGTTGTGACAGTGCGCCGTCACCCGCTTCATTTTGCCCAGTTTGTTGGTGCTTTCTGAAAAGCAGACAGATGGTGGCGCTGCTGAGTTTGCTGGTCAGAATCATTCATCTCCAAACACTCAGGATTGGAAATAACGTTGACTTTAATGGAAGAAAACAGGATAAATAAATACTTAGTTTCCTTGAAAATAACGTTTCACGCCTCCTGCTGTTCCTTCTGCAGACAAAATAATGTCTAAATATCAAACCGTTCTGCTTGTAATCTGATTACTGCTGGCTTCACACCACAGAATGATTCCAAGCCTCCATCCTTTCTGATTTATCCAAACCTGTTGGAGCAGCTGGAGGTGGGTTTCCTCACCTGGATGTAGTCCAGGATGAGTTGGTGTCGAGATCTGGCGGTTGTCACCTCGCCGTCCGTGATGGCCTCCCGCAGTGCCTGCTGGGTAATGAGGGCATCCAGGTCCAGGACGGAGGACAGACGGCAGTAGAGACTGATGAACTTCTCCTTGTAGGTGCAGAAATGAACTGAAAGAAGAAACAAGTTTAATATGGATGTTTTTCAAACCGTTTCTGTTATTTAAAAGTAAATTTACAGAAGATATAAACATCAGTCTGGTTTTAGACATGAAATGAGCAGATTAAGGTGATTTGATGGAGTCCTCCAGTCCTAGACCTTAAATATGAAGATCTGAGCTGGAGAAGCAGCTGCTCATGGAGACCCTTTAATCTGGAACTAAATGCTGAAACTATTCACAAGAATAAAACTTCAACTGGAGAAAAATATCTGCAGATAAATCAATAGTTGAAGTTTAAATAGATTAATCATATTTATCAAAGGTTAGGAAACATTT